TTACTGCTGTCAGTGATCTAAGGGCCAGATTCTGTTCCACCTATTAGGTACTACAGTGGACTTATGTGTTTATGTGCTATTCTACCCAGTTCAAGTCCCTGAGAGTGTTAGTACAAAAGGTGGGTAGAGTTAAACCCTGACTCCATGCGGTGTCCAACGACTAGGGAGATGACTCCTCTGGACCCTCTCGATAATCTGAAGATTCAATTCTGATTGGGAGAATCAGCAATTCGTCCATAGACACAGCTTTATATGTTTTTTCTACATACACCAGGTATGGCTCATGAATGCTGAAATGGTGGGGCAGATGCAGTGTCCCACAGGAGTGAGGAGGGACCCCCTGTGTGCTCAGCAGCAGACCCAGAAGTGGAACAAAAGTACTTGCAGCCCACTTCCAGGTCCACCACTGAGTGCACAGGGGACCCAGTGCCCCCGTAGCTCAGCAATTAGCCATGGGGCAGCAATTAGCCATGGGGGAACCCCAGGTGCCGAGCCAGGGGGTAGGGGTGGTTCCTCGCGCGCTCTGCAGTGGACCCAGAAGTGCTTCTGCTCCACTTCCAAGTCCACTGCTGCGCGCACTGGGGACCCCCCTTCCCTCCTGTGGGATGCTCCATCTACCCCACCATCTCAGCATTCACGAGCCACCTGGTACCTTGAGATACGTAGAAAAAACATATAAAGCTGTGTTTAAGTCCAAATTGTCAAATCTCTCTGAATCTCTGCAAATTGAACTGGAGGCTTCCAATTCGATTTGGGGAGATTAATGGGTTTCTTGATTCAATTAAGATTCGGCAATTCAGTTGCCAAATCGAGCCAAATTTCTTTCAAATTGAATCAGCACCCAAAGCTCTGCACAGCCCTACTGGTTATGGAGCTAGGCAGTCATAGTGCTTAGTCACCAATATGCCTTTGGCATCAGGGTTCAATAACAAAGGATGTGTCTATGTAGACTACATGTCACCCTACAGCAACATAGAGACATGCTACGGTGACATATAGTGTGCTACAGTGATGTAGTGATCATATGCGTCTACCAACTACATCACCATTTTGGTGCACTCCCCGGGTATAGCACACTGCTACACTGATGTAGCTGGAAAGTTTAACCATGTACTGTGCACACGGTACAATAACCACTCATACTGCGCCATGCTTTATTACTTCCAAAAGGAAGCATGGCACCATAGCAACGTTGCCATACAGCAATTTGTAGACACACCCAAAGTCCCGTATCGCTCTGCCCTAATCTCTTTGCACTCATCATGCAGAGAAAGGGAGGCCATGGTCCCGTAATACCATTATAAAGGCAAATGGCAAGTTCATTATCTTCCAATTTAAAACAAAACCTTTGTCATGTCAGGAATTGTTGTCATGTAATGGCAACAAAAATGGTTTACTGTTAAGTAGAATTAGACCCAGCTCTAATCTCACAATGAGATAGCTAAAATAATGCCATGTACTGATTAAATATTTCATAATAAGCAGCTGACCACATTCTGTGTAGTCTCTGATGTGCTACAGAGAACAGAAAAGCCTGTCCCATTTTTAGCTGAATGGTTGAATCTTAGAGTCAAAATACAAATATGAAAAAATACCCAGCACTTCAAAGAATATGAAAGTCTACCGAGAACGTAATTAAATGCAGCCTGAATTACAAAGCTGTGGGTTTCCACCCCACCAGAAGTCAGCTTTGTGAATGTTTTATCAATCATCCAAACAATAAGAAAAGACTCTGACCTGCTTTGCTTGCTCACCAAAGTATGCTGTTGGTATTATCCTGTAATGACACAACAGATCCTGCAGGCGAATTTTGCTGCAAAAGCAATCTCTTTCATTTTCACCTTAAAAAACTGCAGAGTAATTAACTTCACAGCAGTTCCATTTGGCAAAGTAATACAGTAGAAAGAATGAAATATTCATTAATAATTGACTATGAAAACTGTAGTTAAACTATGTTCAGCTAATTTAATAGCTAACAGCTATAGGAATGCAAAGGGTATGGCTCTTTGTGTGAACAAAAATAATTCAAGCTGCTAGTGTTTGAGAGTGATTTTATTAAGAATAACTACTGTAACAATGTTACAATGCAAGTGGTCCACTACAAAATAAAAGAATTGGCGGGGGGAAGATTGAAAGAAAATGTTATGGGCTGATTATTGGTCTAAGTTATTCAGTACTCTGAGAATAATTGATAATATTTTCCAAATCTAAGTAATGTATCTTCACTGATGTTGTATGTGGCATAGTTAATGGTTACAATGCAAGGAGAAACAAATAATTCTAAGTAACAAAAATGGTAACAGAAAATAAAATATCCAAATAAGTCACTTATAACACTGTATTGAACCAAGCACTTCATTTCCATCTTAAAATTCCAGACTCACCCCTTTGCAGTGTCTTTCCACCATACTGTTTAATTGAATTGGCTCTTCGTTAATGTGAAACAAAATTTAATACTATTTACTGTGGATGTGATGTGGATACCTTGTTTCTTTGCATGTATCAAAACCAGCTAAGTAATACCGGCCGAGAGAGAGACTGAAGCTCAAGCAGATTCCTGTGTAACATTTTGGCTTTCATCTCCTAAATATCTGCAAAAGCTTTTATGAAGAGAAGAAAACAAAAGGAGAAGAGAAAGTTTCCTTCCAAGCTAGATGTTTGGGATTTTTTCTGTATATGCAAATATAAATAAAACAAGAACAAGAAAAGATGTAGGCCAGTTATTCAGTGAGAAGAGGGTAGAAATTACAGGTAATCTAGATATATCCAGAACCAAAATGAATGCTTTGCCCCAATTTCCACCATTGGGACCGAAAAGCCCCATTGGAATACATGGGATTGACCTGGGGACCGAAAAACCCCATTGGAATACATGGGGTTGACATTGGGAGCGGGGAACAGGAACAAGGGGAGTATGTGGAGATTGCTGAGGCAGCCAGAAACCTCAAGTACCCCAATGCATTCATGCTAGCAAAACCAAATTATCTCTTGTTGGACTTCATCAGATATGGTCAGAGATGAAGTAGTACTGTTCATATCAGGATCCCTCAGCTTGGATGGCCAGTGACCACTCTGTCGGGATACCATACAACTCTAGCAACAAAAACACTTCCAGGTTTATTGCTCATAAGCAAGCTTAAGCATTGACATCTATACCCCATTTGGGCATGGTGCTAGCCAGGTTATTTGCAAAAATGGTAGGCATCTGTCTGTCTCACAAGACAATAGAATTGCATTGAGTGAGGCATCAGCTTGATAAATATCTGTGAGTGTGGGTGTAGAGCCCAGTTCTTGAGTGACAGTCCCTTCTGCATGAATCACATTTGAAGTTTGTATCAAACAACCCTGAAGATAGTGTGGGTTTCTTCTTTCCTCTGCATGTTGGGCTCTTCTTTCCTCAAAAGCCTCCATTCCATGCTTAATAGACTGTTTCCAAGTGCTTTGATCATCAGCAGTCTTCTCCAAGTCATTTGGCTCAATGTTCATTGCCTTCATATCTCTCTTGCAAGTATCTTTGAGCCAAAGAAAAGGATGCCCACATGGTCTTTTTCCTGTAAAGAATTCTCCAACCAAGAGATCCTTAGGCATGCAGCCATTATCTATTCTCCGCATACAACCAAGTCATGAAAGTTGACTCTGACGACAAAGAGAATGGATGCTTGGAATGTCAGTACATTCCAAGATCTCAGTGTAGGCCACTTTGTTCTGTGAGAAAATTCCTTGAATATAGTGAAGGCAACATAAGTGGAAGCTCTTGAGACACTTTTCTTGAGTAGGGTTTGTGGGTCAAGGATCCACTGCCATACAAAAGGGTTGATTATGCAAGTATGATATACTTCGACCTTGATCCTAACAGTTAGTTTATTGCTTTTCAACAGTTGTTTGCTCAGCATATTCATGATAGCTGATGCTTTGCCAATCCAGGTATTCAGTTCAGCCTCAAATGACAGGTTGTTAGTAACAATGGAGCCAATGTATGTAAATTTACTTACAACATCCAAAGTATTTTCACCTATTGTGATCGCTGGTAGTGAATCAATGTTCTGGCCCATAACGTTGGCCTTCTTGATGCTGACTGTAAGACCAAACATGAACAAAGTGATTGATGAGGCTTTGAGGGTTGCTTTAACAAGGAGGCTCCTGTTACTTTAAGGAACAAACAGCACCAAGGAGATCCTCAAGTGAAGAAGACTACCTATTATGGGTCTCAGAAGTATCATAGTATCATAGTACTTATGGTTGGAAGAGACCTAAAGAGATCATCAGGTCTGACCCCCTGCACCGGGCAAGAACGGGTGCCAGGATCATATATTTGTCCAGCCTCCTCTTGAAGACCCCCAAGGTAGGAGAGAGTACCACCTCACTTGGGAGCCCATTCCAGAGCCTGGCAGCCCTAACTGTAAAGTAATGTCTCCTGATGTCCAGCTTGAACCTTCTCTCTAACAATTTGTGGCCGTTATTCCTAGTAACCCTGGGTGGTTCCCAGGAGAACAGAGCCCCCCCAGTTCCCACTGGTCCCCCCAGTGAGTTTGTAAATGGCCACCAGATCCCCTCTCAGCCTTCTCTTGTGGAGGCTGAATAGGTTCAGGCCCTTTAGCCTCTCTTCAGGCCTTTTAGCCTCTGCAGTACACAAAACCCAAGCCTGCATGGGCAGCAGAGTGCCTATTACAGCACTAGCTGCTCAATAATAGTACTGCAAGGTAGAACCCAACTTAGGAGACAAGGCACTGCTACAGCAGCTAGGCCTGCAGCAGCAGGCTATCCTTGAGATCAGGAAGCAAGCCTAATCAGGGAACATCTGCAGCCTGCCCAGGGGAGTCACCTGACTGGAAGGGGCAGGGCCTGGGAGATGCATAAACCCAGGTCAGGAGCCGGGTCAGGTAGTCTAGCCATAGGCCAAAGGAGATGGAGGTCTGCTGTGAAATGGCTAGTTGGCTGATTGGATGACTGACTGAGATGCCACTAAGCTTGAGAAGAGCATGTAAGAAACTGACAGCTGGTAGGAGGCTGAGACACAGAAGGAAGAGAGAGTTTAGGAGACAGCCAACAAGCTAAGAGTTTGTGTTACAGACAGAGTGCCTAGGTTTTTCTGTTTGAGGTTTAACGGGTGGTTTGGGTTTGGGACTACTGGGGAGAAGGAGGTGCCAGCCATGCCCAAGGGACATGCAACTGTTTTGAGCCCAGCTAGATGTGGGACTCAAATTTCAAGAATAGGAGAGACGGGGCCAATGCCCAAGAAGAGTGCTAACCAGGGTCTGGGACCTGCAGCCCAAGAGGGGCAAAAAGCAGGGACATGGACACAGAGTGTGGAATAGGGGGCTGGGGGCCCAGAATAAGAACCAGAGCCAAGGGCCCAAAGAATGAGAGAGAGGGACCAGGGGCTCAGAGTGAGAGACACAAGGGCCAGGGGCCAGAGTCATCATTGACTGACAGGGCTGAAGCCAAGAAAGCTGGACCTGAAACCATGGGCCAGGGCCAGAGGCTTCTAGCAAAAGGAAATGTCTGAAGCCATGAGAGGTCAAACCCCTACAGGGGATGAAATGGTAAGGTAACACCATAAAGCAACAGGTGCTCTGGGGGCACATATGGGCCAAGGTAGTAGGAACTGAACTAATGTAGCTGATGTTAATGTAAAGTGTAATAATAGTGGAATGTAACCATTTAGTCTTGTTCTGTAAGCAACTTGAAAACTACATTTTGTATACCATTTATCTGCATAGCATTTATGTATGAGTGTGTATAAAAGAGTGAATGGTGAAAGAATGGCATAGAGACAGGAGAAGAAGATTTAACTGTTTATGTAAAAAACAAGGTGCCAAATGTAAGTTACCAGTCAGTAAACTAATTAATGGATAGCTGAAAAATCCCTTTAAGGCCTAGGGCACAAAGAAGATAACAAGGAGGAGGGAGGCACACATCCTGCCAGATGAGCAGCAACTCCAAGGCTGAGATACCAACTTTTACGACCAAACTGACCTCAAGCTGAGATAAGCTTAAGATGAAGAAGAACAGCCATAAAAACAGAAGCTAGGTATGGAAAAACCTGAAAGCACTGAAACAAAGGATGCCAACTCCTATAAAAGGAGACTGAAAATGCTAAGTTGGATGAGTCTCTATCAACTGCTATTTCTTTTGGAGCACAGATGCATCTATCCATCTCCCTCCAAGCTGATATCTTTTTTCTCTATAAGATAGCCTGGGCCAGCCACCCAGTGCTATCATTGAGCAACTGCTGCTGGTAATTATAATCCAATGGTTGCTTTGTGTTTGTGTGTGCCTGCGTGTAATGATGTTATGGATGATCTGTGTGTGTCTATATGAGTGGTGTGTCCGAACCTCTATGTCTAATTCATGTAATCAATAAACATGGCATTTTTCCTTATCCCTTTTCATAAGGTCTTGCTCTTGATTTGTTAATTGGTGTTTTAAGGTAACACCAAGAGGGCCAACTTCAAGTGAGAATGGGATTGGGGACCAGCGAAGGCTGAGAGGGATATGCTGGTAGGAAAATAAAGCAGAGCTTGCTCTAGGACCATCAAGCAGCTTCCCTTTTAAAAATCAATTAAGACCATCAAGGCAGGGCAGGCAGGAGAGAAGGGACCTGAACAGGAGCTTCATGGCCACCAGGGGGCCTCACCTGGAATCTCAGTCCTATTACAGTTGCTCTCTGTGTCTGGGTGATCAGTGGAGTGTTGTTAGCAAACAGCAGTTCATGTATCAAAATTTTCCATGATTTAGTCTTCACTTTAAAGTGAGCGAGGTTGAATAATTTTTCATCTGATGTGTATGTAAATAAACTCCTTTGGTAGCAGTCCCTAAAAATAAAAATGGCACCAGCATAAAACATAGCCAGCTCAATG